GAAAATGAGATCAAATTCACATACGCGGGAAAGGATAGTTGACGTTTGCTTAGAGTGGGGGTGGAGAGCAAGGCGTAGCGCAGGGCGTATGTGGCCGTTTCAGCGCGGAGTTTGGTCGATTAGCCCTTCCGAAGGCCACAGGAAAGTACGATTCTTGATAATAAACCAGGAATTGTTTCTTGAAACTTCAGATTTACCGTTTAACTCTAACACTCAAAGATCTTCTCTTCCCCAGCGAAGTGATAGTTGAAATGCAGGGCCGATGTGAAACATGATTTTATTTTGAATGTTACAGCGTTATAAAAAGGTCTCATAAATGATAGATCACGTAAGGCTTTAGCCAGAGATTCAAGGAAAAATCAGTTTACAGCGAATGAGGTCGAATAATCATTTGCACCCTTATAACGAGCGTATGCTCTTTTTTCAGCGTTCGAGTTTTTCAAGTGAAAATTCGCACTACAAGGGGACACAGGCCATCTGTATACTACAGACACATTGACAGCCGTATTCAGTGATATTTCATCTATTCGTCAGCAGAAAGTGCACCTAATCTCTAAGCTCCGTTGTGCAAGACTAACATCCATTGTGTCAAGCAGACAAGCTAACAATAACGAAGTCAGGTGTAAGGGGATTGATGCCCATTTTTACTGCTGTTTCTAGCGGTCTAATACTCAACCTGTAGCTTGCCAGGCTCTAAACGTGGTAGCTGGATACTCATGAATGGCTTGTCAATCTTTCTCGAAGGAGCAGGAGGAGCTCATTTGTTCGCGGCGTCTCCAGACCGCCTCCTATGGTAGTTCCCAGCCGCTTGATTGCATTCCTTTGGCCAATTAGGTGCATACAGAAGAGGTTTGTCAAGTTGACGCTGTAGAAAAATGAATCTCATCTCCTGAATCCGCCTCATCTCTGGAAAGCAGGACCGCTTTTGGTTAGCATTTAATTCTCCTATCCACCATCTGAGGACGCGTCACGTGTCCTCGCGACTAATTGAGCGGAATCCTTCAAATAGGGACAAACGGTGACGGCAGCGAAGTATACTTTCCAAATATACATTCCTTTCAGAACGTCTAAGAGTGTACCACCACTCTGTCTGTCTCCAAAGCTATCGGTGTCGATTAGTCCCTGAAGGATGTGCTATGCATTCGGCTTCATCAAGCATCGCTAGAGGAGACTAAATGCTTATCTGGCCGTCTATCTGCTTCTAAACACTCGCGGTGGCCTGCCGAATTAACAAACCAGTGCTGCTATCCTTCAGGTGAGTCTGGTACCACACTATATCAAACCAGGACGAATGCAGGGAGATCTTGGTGAGCCTTGGGGTTGGATCGAACGATTGACCATTTGTGTATCGCAGAGCACTTCCTAGCCATCGCTCCACGCGAGCCCCACGAACCAGCACCAGTATAAAGTCTGTATTCGATATGCTGTTGGTTGACTGCTGAAAATTTTGCCGAAAAAGATCTATGCGGCAACGAGAACAGAAAAAAGCATGTGCATTGAAATCAAGACATACGTTCCTGAACGCTCAGCAGCATACGCATTTATATCAATGCACACGGTCCTGATGGAGCTTACAGAGCTTTCGATTCCACATGTGACTCACTCTTTATCAAAACGCCTTCTTTAGAAACTTCCATAACCCATACCTTTGATTATTCGTGAAGTGCCTCAATAAAAGTCAGGCCAGCTATACGTCAGTCAGTACTGATCCGACTGCTGCGGAGGTGACCCAATGTCAATTCACCGCTCAGACCGAATGGAAGGCGTGACTCTGTCCGTACCTGTGGTCGCACCAAAATCCATTCGTGAACCGCTACAGTCACTCTGGACCACTGCGCCACGGCACGCTCCCATGCGCGAGTTGTCCGCTTCGAAGTGAGATTCGAGCGCGCTTGTTACCGTCTTTACGTGATTTTATGCCTACTTCCGTCCTATTGCTCCCACTTGTTACTGTCGCTGCTGCTGCTGCTGTTGCTTGTTGTTGTTGCTCGTGCATCATGTCAGAAGTGCAATTTCAGAATGGTTGCGGCCATCGAGCCGGTGATCTTCGATTTTGATGGTCTTCTTGTCGATATGGAGCCGAGTTACATCCTAGCAAATCAGGCTATACTAAGTCGATTTCATCGCAACTTCACAGTGGACCTCAATGGTGAGTCCCATTGATTTCCCGAGAAATGTCGCAGTCGAAATAGTAGCAGCAATTTACTGATTTATCGATTAGTTTCAGTTTTCGATAAACTAAGGAATGACGGGACGCAAGAACCCGGTTAATCGATAAAGATTATCCTTGTAAAATCATGCTTTATTAAGGTTTTTTTTGCCAAATTTTCTTTTCCAGAAAGGGATTTTTCTTTTCCTTCCTGTTCCTGATTTTCCTTCTTTTTCTTTTCTTTTTGTATACGTGACTAGTTTGCGGCGATAAATGAAAAAACGATCTCATTCGATAGATAGGGACTTGTCAGAGGAGTGTTAGTGATCATTCGAAATCTAAAATTTCTGGCTGGAGCTCCACACGGCCGGCTTTCGATAAAGCCTTTTTGACGTTGCTACAGAAGCAGATTCCTTGCTTTCCAACGCGCAAATGTATCGTCGAATAGAGCTATTTCTTTAGACTATTAATAATCATTCGATAGCGTAATGTTTGCTAGTTTCGACGGTATGCTTCTTTTCTGGGAAGACCGTTTCTCTGCAATGCACCAAGGAAAATGAATTAATTCACATACACGAGCAAAGGGACGTTTGGCCAATTCACGTGCCGGTGGGTGAGGCGGCCACGTGAAGTGCTGTCGCGATACTTCTCTACACATTCATATGGTCGAAAAATTGCGCCAGCGCATGTTCCGCCTTGGACGGCAGTACGCAGATTCACCAGAACCCTTTGTGCTCGCGTATGTGAAACCAAATTACTTTGTTCCACTGCAAAGAAATGACCTTTCCAGAAAATAGCACAGCGTTCGAATCAGCCAACACTACGCAATCAAATTATTCCTAAAAGCCCAGAGAACGAACTCTGTATGGCATGAAATACGCGCATCTGAGAAGTAGTTGTGTGAATTTTACAGCGTTATAAAAGGATCCTTTCTAAAATCAGTGGTCTAGGGCTCTAGCCAGAAATCCTAGCTGTTAATTGATTGCTAGCACTATCATGAATAGTTCCTATTCAGCAAATGAGATCGATTTTTATTTGTCGCCTCATTATGGACAAGAACCTCTTTTTGCCTTTTTTGTAATCCTTTTTTTTTCAGAGCTTTTTTTTTTTGTTTTTAACCTCTCATCTTATCTCAAAATAGGATCGTTTACGTTACAGATTGAAGTTATACTCTGAAGGTGGGCACTGCTAATCGCATAACACCTGAGGAATATGTTCTTGATTATGACGAAGTGTTAGCGAAGATGTTCGAAAAGTGTCGGGGTCTACCAGGAGCTGAACGCCTTGTCTGGTATCTGACCAAGAATGGTAGGGTAACTCATTTTTTTAAAGCCTTTTTGCTTTCGTTTTTCCATCGTTTTTACGAGGGCGCTGTTGTCGAGTGGTTAAGGTGCTCGTTGCGAGGCCGGTCCCCACTCTCTCTCTCTCTCTCTGATAGTGTCCAGCAGTTGGCAATGAACGCCCTATAAGAAGTGGCTCAGCTGGCTGTCCTTGAGATTGCGAAGAGGGCATGCTCAATCAGTATTCTGCAACGTTCAGGAAGAAGACAAAAAAGGATTTGAATGTCGGAAGTATTGGAATCTTCACAGTAAAAAAGAAAGCCCTTCGTGAAGACGGATCGAATAAATGTGTGAAATTTTGTATTTTATCATTAGTATGGGTACGTCCTGCACAACTGCCAAAGTTGCCTTGTGACATACACGTGGTTCGTGAGTTGATTCCACGCCCAGAGCTCACCACGCTTTCCGCCATATTGGGGTCGGTGAATTGATACCAGACTGCTCTCAGACTTTTTTGGAGGATAAACAGGATTGGCCCGGTACAGTTGGAGGCTATCGCGAGTTATTGTAAAGGCCAGATGTGCATTCAGTCACCTCGAAGTTGTGATTTGAAGAGGAGAGCATGGTGCATCCCCCAGGGATTGATCAAGGACAAGAGCTTTATTCTTTTGTCCTTTATACCAGTCTCGCGCGAGCTTCAAATAAAAAGTCAGTTTCTAAAAAAATTTTGATATTCACATCAAATACCGTCTTTCATTGGAATTCGGCCATTTGATCTACTACATGATTGTAAGAATTGCAATTTTTATAGAAAAATATCAGCCGCAGCTTATGAAAATGGTGTTTTCCTCTCTTTTGAGGTATATGCCGACGAGTCGACATTGGATATCGTTCAAATAATGCTTACCACTTTAACCAGCCGAATCATAACACGTCCTATCTAAGCCCTCGTATCATATCAAAATACGTAAAGCACCATTTGACCCGCTGAACCGAACTATATCGACCAAATCGAACCCATCCGACTAGCCAAATCATATCAAACGGCACCTCACGGTCATTGAGAGAATTCATAAGGAGACAGCTATCAGTGGGGCCACTTGCCATCTTCATTGCGGCTCTTCAGCTAATTGTGAAGTTTTTGGACATTAGTTTATACCATATATATACGTGATATTGATTCATGATACATTGTTATGTTGTTATAAGTATTGTAACAACTGATATTCTACATTATTTTGGTTGATAATTATTACTCTTGCTTTCGTGCTATAAAGAAACTAGTCCAACCCTTACCGCTCCATGCATCCAACCCTGTCCGTCTCCATAATTGTTCTGACATCGGCTCGTGTTGCGTCCAACAATGGCACGTTGAGGGTTAAACACCATTTTTAAACGCATTACGAAGCAACGTTGGAGACGCGGAGGCTTGGACTCATGGAACCGTAGGAGTTAACTCTGTGCTCGATTAGAGTAGCAAGTCTAGAGTGGCAGTTATTTATTACTTCACTTAACTCAAGTGGAGTTCTAACTATTACGGCACTATGTTTCCGTTATTCTGACCTACATCGTGCATTGGCCGGGATACGAATTCGGGTCACCCGCGTAACAGGCGAGTATTCTACCATTGAACCACTAGCGCATATAGACATATAGCATAAACTAATGACCATAGATTTCACGACCAGTTGTAGAGCCCCTTTTCGGATGTCGAATGGTGTCGACGGAGGAGCCACTTTACGGATGACGAGTGCCGTGCCTCGCGATAACTGTTTTCTTATGAACCATCTCAATGACAGCGAGGTGAAGTTTGATATGACTTGGCCAGTCGGATGGGTTTGATGTGCTTCATGTGATTGGGTTCAACGGGTCAAATACTGCTTGAAATAGTTTTTATATGTTATGAGGGGTTAGATGGAAGTGTTGTTTTACGACTGGGTCAAATGGTAAGCATTATTTTGAAGGATATGCACTATCGACTTGTCAATACCATATCTGATCAGAGTTATTATTTTTAGGAATTACGATGGCTATTGGTACGGGTTCTTGCAGTCGCACATTCGCTCAGAAAGCAAAGGGTCACCGGCATTGGATTGATTTGATACCAATACAAGTAGCTCTTCATTTAACCTGAATTTTTTGTCATCGTACTAGATAGAACAAAAGAACTGTTTTTTGAATCAAGCTTTTTTAGAGATATTAGGATCTGAAATGTTGACAGCAACATTTATCGAAATCTTTCTGTCTCGTCTGAGTTTCCCTATGAAGACATGCAGTGGAGATGATGAAAGCATCAAATGATTTAAACCCTATCTAGATTAGTTTCTGGAAACAGTGAGCAGGTTTCTTTGTTTGAAACCTCTTATTTATCTTGACGTTTCGTACCAAAAAATCTGACGATATCAGATTTGCCGTACCACTTTCCGATCCTTCTTAAGTGCTCGTATTTGGAGATGCCTCGAGCGGCGTGATAGCTGCTTTGGAGGTCGGAATGCCATGCCTCATGGTTCCCAATCAAATGTTTTGTGTGTGAATTTTACATATTTATTTTTAGTAGCCCATGTGGTGCTGTGATTAGAGGTGCTGTGATTGGAGGTGCTCTGCGTTGCCTACAAGGTTGATGGTTCAATCTCGCGCTCATGACTCACCAAGCCATCCATTCCTCCGGGGTCGGTGAACTGGTACTAGACAGATCTCAGAATTGCCCCGGAGTTTAAGCAGCACTGTCTCGATACAACGAGACGCCACCACTGTAAAGGCCTGATATGCATTCATTCACTACAATTGAATTTGAAAATTTGAAACGAATGCATGGCGCATCTCTCAATGACTGATTAACGCCGAGAGATTTATCCTTTGCCACTTTATCTTGCAGTAGACGAACAGGTTTTGATTGTTCTGTTTGGCCCTCATATTTCATATCTAACCTTCTAAGAACCGCATTGCTGTCTCGAAGACACTATTAATTATGGACCTTTTTGTCGGAAAAGGCTATCTTACCGTGGTTTTAGTGGTTCTTCGACGGTTTTTCAACTTCGTTTCCATCACTATGCTTGCTTTCTCGAAAGACGTTCATAATTCTGTAGGAGCGAGGAGGTTAAGTTCCGCATTAGACGAGCACTTTTTCTTCACACATAAAAGCTCTGTATGTACAAAAATCATGTGAAAGTGTTGGAGAAATCATGGAGCGTCAAAGTGGCAAGGGAATCTTGAAGTTACTCGTTATTTTGTGAAAAAAGCCCTAATTAAATAACGAAGATCGCGCACTGTACACTTCGATGAGCGTTGTGATTTTTTTGCATCAGCCTTGCTTGAATTGAAAATTTTGCAGTGTCAAGCTGCTTATGGGCTTGTGGCACACCGATTAGGGGTGCACCCGCGACACACGTGTGGTCGTTGATTCGATCCCGCACCCGGGACTCGGCGAACTTTCCATCTCTCCGAGGTCAGTAAGTTAGTGCGAGATTTGTCTGAGAAGGTTGGCAGCACATGCTTGATACATCGGTAGTTCATCACAAGTCATTGTGAAGGCCAGACATGCTTTCAGACGCCTCAATCAATGTTTGATGAATTGGTGAGACCACTGCAGGGCAACATTCTTTAGCGATAGATCAATACCCTGAGCTTGGTCCCTTATATTTCAACGTCATCGAATCATTTTTTTGTTTATATAATTTCTCTTTTACTAAAGGCATGGTACACCGAACTCAACTGTTTTTTCAGACCGGACAAAGTGCTTTCGACTCTGGAGAAGTTCATACCGCAAGAGTTCGGTTTGCCACCGTTTGAGTAAGGAAATAATCCAGGAGATCTTGACTATGTTTGTTCACTGAAACATTCACATGATGTTTCTATTGCTCGTTCATTGGATGCGATTTGTTACTTATTTTGTAATAATAATAAATTAGTTACTAATTTACCTTCCATGACATTTGTAAGAACAGCCGTCTGTTCTCTGAGTGCTTGGAAACACTTTTTTTCAATTTCAACTCTTACACAACCAAATATCCAATACTGTTGATTCTTATGCAAAGCTTAAAACCATGGACGAGTGTTGAACACGTATTCCACCCTTTCGGGGGACCTATGTATAACCACTGCACTACCGGATATCGTGATCTGTTATCACTCTATCACAGAATTTTTCAGGTTATGACATTTAGGATGTTGCTTCGATGATATATGATCTAGTTAAGTTTAGTTTCAACCTAGTGGGCCTCAGGAGACTTAGAGGAATTTTTATCTCTGAAGAACTGAATATTGCTCTAGAATTGGTTCTCTTCAGTTCCAACTCAAAGTTCGGATCAAGGAGAATTGCTTGGGGACGGATCAGCTGTCGGTATCCACTAGTGTTGTAGACGCTTATATCCTATTTGAGGTATACTCCAGTCTTGGTCATCTCTCGCCAGCTGTTTACCACATGGAGATCGACTGATTTCACGTTCGCTTATCAATGTTTGGTCGCCTGGACGTTGAAGACGAGGAGTGTTTTCATCACAGCTCTGGACTGCGTACGGTTTAGATGATCTCTTCCTTACCTGGAAACTTAGGTGTTTTATATATTTCAGCCAGGCTTGTATGGGATACCTAACGGCAAATCTCTTTCCGAAGAAAGTCTTTATTCCGAGAAGGTCAGTGAGGCACATATACACCATGCAGAAATGGTCTTCCAAAATCACGAACCGTTCAATTTTGTGTCTATAGTTGGAAATCAGATGTTGTTTTCCAAGTACTCCATGATTATAAGTCCACGGATTCTGAGTGATACGGAAAACACTCGGTCCCCAGGCGGGAGTTGAACTTGCGTTTCACCTGCTTTCTCACCACCTTTTCTTCAATATGAGGCATCGAACTCTTTTATTCTGATATTCAACTAGGACACAAAATTGAACCGTATGTGATCCTGAGAGCCCATTTGCGCATGCAACTTTTCCAATAAGCTCTACGGGCGTGTGCGGCTCCAATATTTCTGGAACTCTTCCGGTCCTCTTGCTAGTTGAACGGATTCAGTTATCCATTCTGACTGATTTCCATCGCAGTATGGGGGTTTTCCATGATCTGGATTTTCTTTGGAAACACTAATCTTAAGCTTACACTCACTTCATTGTGCTTCACTACCAGTCATTATGAATGTTGTTTGGTAGGAATTTGCTATCAGTTCATATGCCTGCCGTTTCGGCTTAGTCACGGGACTTTACTGCTAACATTTTGGTGTCACGTGACCCGTTTTCGGGTCACTGCTGTCCGCACTGCTTCTCCGCTTACTCTTTCAGGGCTAACGTTGACAGGCAAGCGACGTTTCACCGTCGATTGTGGTGTAGTCGCAGGGGGCAGCATGTGTATGTATGTGCATGCATGTGGCTGTCTGCACCTGCTTTCCCACGAGACCCAACAGTGCCATTTCCGTGGATCCAGAGGCGTTGAAACGACTACAGCTCCTCGGCCCGATCGGACACCGACTACAGCTACTTTCCTTTACAGGACCCGCAGCCAAGTTTTGGGATGGTTCGCGTGCGGTCTGCGCCGGCGTATTGACTGCTGTTTCTTGATGTAATTTGCGCAAGTGTGATGTCAACATCAAGAAACAGCAGTCAGTACGCCGGCTTAGACCGCACGTGAAACATTCCAAAGCTTGGCTGCGGGCCCTGCAACGAAAAGTAGCTATAGTCGGCTTCCACTCGGGGTAGAGGAGAGGAGTTATTGGACACACTCCTGGGTCCACGGAAGTCAGCCGGCTGAGTAGCTTATACTACCAGTAGCCTTTCATGTCTGTACAACAGCCTAGGTCCTTCTGAAAATATCTTTTTGGGTAACTTTCCGAAGACATTTACATTACAATTGGACAGTACTCAAAATCTTGGTGAAAGTGGTCTTCTGAGACGGAACGCTCTAGTCTGTAGAAGAAACTTTGTCACATTCATTTGATCGCAGTCCTCAGTGCCGGGTTTTCTGAGCCCTGTATCCGCTCTCACTACTCTCTTTTATGGTCCCTAACGATAATTGTGGTTCTTTCTGATTAGGAAGTGGCGAATGAAGAACCCAACTGATTCGCTGGAGAGCAACTTTTCATAGGAATGTTAGTGATCATTCGAAAGCTTGATTTTTTAGCTAGAGCTCCACGTTGCCGGTTTTTTAAAACATCAACGCTGAAAAATAAAATTATGTTCTATACTACCAAGTGTTCCCTTTTTTCGCTTATATTTCCTCTGGACAAAACTTCTTCCCTAGAATGCTAGCATGCATTTCATAGCACAGTTTCGAAAAACCAAGGATATCTTTGCATTATGAAAAAGCTCTTTTGATAGAGCTCTAGGAGAAAGAAAATATTCACTTTACCTCTCACCGGACAGAGCTCTTTTTCTGGTTTATAAGTAATCAATCGATAGCACAATATTTGCCAGTTCAAACTGTGTGCTTATTTTTGGGAAGACCGTTCCTGTGCAGTAAAGCAGGTGGATATGCCTCCAGCCAAAGCGCAAAACGATCAATGTTCGTGTGAAAACGGCCACATCCGCCTTCGCACCGCCCTCCACCACCCCATGGATGCCGAGAAAACGCCTTTTCGCGTATGTGAATCAATCTTATTTTCTCTATTGCAAGATAGAGAAACGGATTTCTCACAAATAAACATAGCAATGGAAT